GGAAGAAAATGCCACGACTTGTCCTGGACGAAGTGGAACGATAATCTGGAGTTGCGGGAAGCATAGTTCACCCCCCTCAAAATCACCCAATGCTACCAGACAACACAAAGAATTTGGTTCGTCGTGTTCGTCCCAGTGATAATCGCTTATTGTGTTGAAATTAATCGCGAGCATCGGGAAGACTCCGAATGGCTTTGGCCCAAATACCCCCAACGATAACTTTTCTAACTTCCCATATAACTCCCCATAATATTCTCGGACAAATTCATTAATAGAAGTTGACAACGGTTCTAAATCACGAAGTAACGTATCGACACATTCTTGATGCTCGACGTTGTGGGCACTTGCGGTGTTGGAACTTGTGTAAGGTAAAATGTTCGATGAAATTGGTCCAAAATTCCTCACTACGGTGGGAAGGGTTATTTAAAGTGTGAAAATAATAGTGGTTTACAGCTTCGGTGGCTTTTGATACGGCATTCGAATTATTTAATACTCCCAGGTGAATTAAGGTTCTACCCTCGACGTCGGTAACGCATCTTGGTCTTTCAATATATCGAAACCTCACCAATCCTTTTAGAGAATGAGTATTACCCCGTGCGGATATTATTAATTGGACCTTCTCCTTCCGGGAAATATGCGTCGTGGTTATACTCGGATCATTCCGTGGTTTATTATTTTGATACTCGTCTTCCTCACGCATGACGTGTTTAAGTTTCATCCATTTTGATCGTAGATGCCGACGTATACCTCTTCTTGTAACTGGCTCTTCGACACCTAACCAACGACCGAAAGCAACCCATAATCCGTTATTCAAAGTATTGACTTGAGATTCTTCTTCGTCATCGCGATCTATCTTGATTATCTCTCTATCGAGCAGTTTAAGAAATTTAGGCGGGATATAAGGTATTTCATTATCCTTGGTAAGTGTTGCCTCTCGAATTAAGGTTTCAATCAATAATCCTCTCGTAGAAACCTCTTCTCGAACTTTAGCTCCTTTCAATGCCACACAATCCGACGAACAAAGTGGAGTGCTTTTCCATTCTTTTTCAATGTAATAGATTTTATCACTTGTACGTAACCCTCGAGTCGCAAATTGTGTCCTATGCTAATATATAAAATTGTATTATGCGAAGAAATGTTTCATAGTACGATTCGAATTAAATTTTATGCGAACAGGTCAATAAGCTCTTTTTACGGACTGAGCAACCACCCTCGTTCAAGTATTAAGCCACTATTATAGTGCGATTTCTACAACACAAATACGAAGATGGATTACCAACTAAGTATACTCGTAACAAGAAACTTAGGTAGTTGCTCTATCACGTAAAATAACCGCTTAATTACGTTCACTTAAATAAAAAATCGAAATTATATACTTTGTTCGGGTTGAAGATAATGTTTGTCGTTGTTAGAGTGGGCTTAATGTTATCTGCTGGTGAGGTCGATTTTTTTTCTTTTTCAAGCCTACGTTTTTTATTATAACGGGCGTGACGCGATAACTTCTTAACTGGTTTCTCTTGCGACATTACTAATATTAGACGAAAACGGTGTATTAACTAATATACGGGGAAAGGACAAAAGCAACACTATCCGACGAGCCGTTAGAAATAAATTCCTAAAGCCGATGTCCTACTCAAGAAGAATAGCGTATACTTTTGCAAAAAAGAAGCGTGGGAGGAATCGTTGATAATAGGTAAAAGGGGGTATATACGATGATAAATTGATTGGCCGGAAATGCGCACAGTTTATTAACCAATTGCATCACGTCGGGATCGTCATTAGAAGTTCGTGGAACATGAGTAATTGCGTAACTGTACTACATAGATAATCGCTATTTTTTTCGCTTATTTTACATAGAAAAATGTCTTTTTTTCACACATGCTATTGCGATAAGAACCAGCGATAACAAAGCTGGAAAAGGCAATAAGGGCAAAGAGCCCGTTGTTTCCTATCAGTTTCGTTATTAGAAATTATGGGTCATGGGGGTTCGAGATTTTTGAGATTGCAAGATCGTCGTTGCGATTAACCAACTTTCGTCTTATAGGAGCGATCTCGAGCCTAAAGGGATTTCATTCATGCGTCTATGACTCAATACTCTGCATATTAATACCTTGGCATATGGAAACACTTTCTATGGAGGCTGAATAATAACAGGTTTACTTATGATTTCGGTAATAGACAATTTTACCATTGCTAGGGTTCGGAGATTTGCTTGATAAAGTTTAGATCATTCTAGCAATTCTGGGTCGAGTGAATCATATAAATAAACAGAGTTCGTAGAAACTTTGCTCCTACCTTCCCACAAATTTTTTAAGGTACTTGTGTATTGTGATTACGAAGCAAGAACGAAATTTTAACCACTAAGTTTTTATTGCAAATCAATGGGCTACGCCCTACATATAGAAAATACGAAATGCCTGATATCGACCTTAACTTTATTATTCGGGGTGATGGAGTTGATGGTATTTTCACTCTATCTGTCGATAATGGGAAGTCGGTCGAGTTTCTAAAAAATGAGATCCGAACCAATCAACGTAACTTGAATAAATTCGATCTATATAAGAATTTTTCTCAATCGAATAATGCTTTAGTCAGTACATTAAGAAATCCAGTCACACCCGATGAGAGACAAGGACGACTTATGGTTCCGCAAGAAAAAATTTCCGAGTATTTTACTGTCTTAGACATCCACGCTCTCAGAGAAAATCCCCCTTATCTTCCAGAAGATGGTGAAATAGGTCCTATAAATGTTATTATCTATCCCTCTGCTGAATAATTAGATTTTTTTATCCATGTAATAGCGATATATATTTCGCAAATTTCTTTTTTGTATCTGGCAATGTTTTTCGTTTCGTAATAATAAAGCAACGACGCGTTAGGTTATCCTATAATAAATGTGTCACATCGGACCCAGCTATCTTCGGATCAGTTCGTGTAACTTCCATCGCATGTATATAAAGTATCGATCATCCAAAAACAGATATGCTAAAAATTTTTCATTCTTCACTTGCATCGCGTTACCTAGCTTTTATTAGCGAGATACATAAACCAGATTTTACTAAATTTTTACATATAAAAGTAACACTATGTCTTCACACGCTTCTTCACCTTCCTCGCCAGTTTCTACATCCTCTACTTTGACGGGAGAAAAGACAACTCGCACGATGGCGGACGTTATTAAGAAATATAAGACGGAAGAACTCATCGACTATTTGCGGAGACAGGAAGACTTGGACCTCAAAGGATCCCACTTTAAGATTTTTCGGCAGGAGGAGATTTCTGGTTTTTGCCTTTCTTGAGACAACCAAAGAAGAGTTCCGTAGTTATGGGTTAAAGGGTGGAACTGTAACAGCACTCGCAAAATTTATCGAGGATCTAAAAGAGCAGAAAATACGTAGCTTCTCGTCGTATAAAACGTTGGAAGAGCTAAAGGATGTTCTCCGTAAATTCAAAGTCAATGGTGAGGATATAACGAGCATCAAACAATTCAATCCGGGTATGTAATACTTAATTTTATTTTTTCTTGGTATTATTTGGGCGAACTTTTCATCAATATAGTTCGCTGAAATTTCTTGGCTTTTTTGTTATATAGTTTTCAAGGAAATCGATGATAACGACAAAGCCCTCGATCAATGTATGAATGAAATAACGTTGAGACTTTCGAATCTGGGAACAATGCATGATAGTACCAATGAAGCCACACGTTGTGTATTTATTACGTCTATATTAAACGCATCTCTGGCTATCGTCCGACGAATTACCAAGGAAGAAAAAATCTATATAGCATACCAAAAAGGAGTTTCCGGTGAGGAGGCATTTGGTCGTGTCGACTATGTCATAAAAGGAAACGAGGATCTTATGTGTATAGCAGAAGGAAAGTCTCGTAACGTCGAAGTCGGTTACCTTCAGAATATTATGCAATTAGAAAGTGCATACCATACAAATAAGAAGAAGCGTGCACTTTGTGCCTGATCTATTCTGTGTCTTACCCATATTTATTTCTCGATAGAATTATATCAACCGTAATCCATTCAATTTTTGGATATAGCTATACTAATTCGTGGATAATTAATTTCAATTTGAAAAAAGAATCTCCATAGTATATATTAGATGAAAATAGTCTATATGAAACATCTTAATCATCTCAACTAACACATCCTAACCATGGCAAAAATCACTACATCATTTGTAGATTGTTACAAATTGATTCCTCAAACTAGTTTACCCCAGCTTAATAGTTATGTCAAAGAGCTGGCTAATAAACTTTCAGATGATAAGATAAAAGAGCAGGTCCAAAAAGCCAGAGATCAGGCTAAAAGATGCTTCCAACAGTTGGAATTGAGTAAGAAGCAAGCAAATAGTCTTATTTCTATTTGAGCTCCTGGAAGACATGTTGAGAAAAGAGATCCCATCAAGGTTATTGCATAAAATATTATAAAAAACAATCTTTCACCTGAAGAAATAAATAAAATAGCATATGACTTGGCTTCTTCTGCTCCCACTACTGTTGCAGAAAATTCTCGTCTTAATTTATTACTGAAGAAGCAAATCAGATTTAAGCAAGAAAATGTATACTTCGTAAAATTAATGGTTATGATTGTTTTGAGTTCTTTTACCTGAAAAAGTTCAGGAAAGATTTAATAAATATGATATTACCAAGTCTTCTTCAATACAAAATCTAATAGACATAATGATAATGCTATATATGCAATCAACAGATGTGAAAACTCTTCGTATTAATTGATACAGATCAAGTTATGAGTTATAATATAATCCTGATTATTCTTTGTACTGCATTGATTATGCAAAAAATAAAAATGAAATAGAAGAATTCCAGTCATTTCTCTCAATGAAAAAAAATCCAATATGAGCAAGAGAATTACTCATCTGGATTTAGAGATCAATACTGAACAAATTTTTCTTTTTGTTAAAAGATAAGAATGAAAATACTAATATTATATCACTTAATTAATTCTTGAATCATTAAAGAATTATCTTGTATATGTTAAGAAAAATAGGTGCTGATCATACTTTCAGAGTATATGAAGGTAAAAATGCTACTAGTTGTCAATATTTATGATAATTGACATATAGATATAAGATAGGTCATGCTTCATCAATCAAATATTATAATATGATGAATGATAGACCAATTATTCCAGCATCTAAACTAATTATCTCGATGATTAAGCAAGAATATGATGAAATTGAGAATATCTAAATTAGCTAGAAATAGCTAGTATGACTAATTACTACTATATTTATTAATATCAATTTTTTATGCAAAGCATGAGCAGATGCAAAGCATTCTTACTTTGTAAGAGATCCTATATTTTTTTCAATAACTTAAATGAGTTCCTTCTCCACATCATCTTTGTTATTATAAAGATAACTAAAATCAAAATCAGATGTAGTATTTATTTCATTATCAATATTTCTTAAAAAATATATATAATTATCTATAAGATTACCTAGATCTTTTGAAAAATTATTATACTATATAAAGGATTTATATATTCTTAATGAATTAACTGAATAGAAAATGTCATAATTTGAGAATAAATAAATCCAAGATAATTTTTTTTAGTATTTTATTATTATATAATGAAATATTAAATTATTCAATTCAAACAATAAAACAAAATTTATATAATTTTATGAGTGCTTGAAACTCTTCTGAATATCAGATATAATTAACAGCAAGAATCTTAAATATATCATCATCATTAGAAAAATAAAAAAGTATATTTTCTAAAATTTCAGGTACTAATAAAACACATATTACAAGAGAATTGCTGGATATAGGTATAAAATGGCTAGTATTAGTTTTCACATTCATATTCTATTGTTATCGATGATATAATATATATCTTGATACTAACTTTGCTATTATTTATTAATACATGATAAAATTCAGAATAAATAATAATTATTTTTTCAGTTATAATATTCATTATTAAATAATATTTGACATGATTTTCATAGAAACACTTATAGAGGGAAAAATTCCAATAAAAGCATTAATTGATACATCGTTAAAGTTTAATATCATTAGCAAAAGCTTGTTCGATAAGCTTGAAACTGATCATGAAATAAGATCAATCTGTAATCCTGTTAAAAATCTCTATAAAGATGTAATAGGTGAGATTTGTTATTTGAATTTACAATTCCAGTATAAAGAGACATATCATAGTTTAGATAATACTGATGCAATAGATTTCAAGATTCACAAAAATTCACTATTTGATCTGGTATTGGATCAAGACTGATTATGGATGCATGAAGCAAAAATTATTTATGAACATCATGATAAAATTGTAATAGATAATATGAGCATCTCATTAATTGATGAAGATTTTAATAAAGCTGGCTCTAGTGAAAATAATTCATATAAGTCCAATTTATCAAAGAAGAAGATCACAAATATGATCAAGAAAATTCTTTCAAATGTCAAAGATAATCAGTTAGATTCTTCTGATCCTACAAATCCCAACATTGTCATATTAGTTCATATTAAAAAAAGAAAAAATATAGAGATACCAAAATTATCAAAAGCATTATAGTATCTGAATCTGATTCTTCCACATCCAGTTTGGAATTAGAGAATAAGCATATATATAAAACTGAAGCAATAAGAAAATACCTCATTTTAAAGCATAAAATAAAAGATAAAATTAATTATCAAGCTTTATAGAATTTCTTATGAAGTAAGAATGCTTTATATTTACTTATGCTTTGCATAATGAAACTAATATCTTTGACACAAATCTCATTATGTTATAATGGACCTTAAGAGAGCAATGTTATGTGTAGATTAGTATAAATATAATTTGTATTATTATTTGTAATTTGAGGAATAAAAGTGTGAAAAAATATATTATATATATGTTTGGATTATAGACAAAATAATATTTGAAATTAACTTATATTTCCATTAATACTTATTGCTCTATACTTTCACTGTTACTATTTAAATTGAATTTTAATAAGTCTTTCAATATTTGAGATGATAAATTTTTGTATTGACATAATTCCCACTATTTCATTCACTCTTTATAGAGAATACTGTAGAATAATAAAAATTTTATATTATTTGATTTTCAAACTAAACCTAATTAATTTTTATTTGGTAATAATCTCACTTTTGATCCTCATTTTTAGATATGAATTAATCACTTTGTAACTAAATAAAAGTAATACAATACTAAAATCATGTAATAGTTTATTTAATTTAGTATAGACATCTTATCTTTTAAAGAAAGTGTATTTATTTCGCAAAAAAAAACTCTGCTTCAATATAAATTCAAAGTTAGAATATTTATATAGATAATTAATATATAATTCTTACTGTTGATCTATATCCCATATCAGATTTTGTTAATGCACTTATGTATTAGTAAAACTGATATAGTTAAATTGGCCAATTATATTGATGTTGACAAAAAGTTTTTATTGCTATAAAATAAATTACAAAGTAAATATAAAGCAGGAAATCTATCTACCTATTATTTTTCGATAAATTTTTTGATCCTAGTCTTTTTACTAGCTGGAGAATTATTAATACTAATTCTATCTTTTAATAATCCAACAATAACATTCAATACTTGCTTTATGTCCTCTCTTATAGATTCTAGATCTTTTTTAAGTGTTATTTTGAAAAGATTAATTCGATATTCACTTTTACTGGTGTAATAGATCCCATCAATAACAAAAATGATAAAATGTCATTCTGTGACTAGAGACAGAGTCACATTATTTCACAATAAAATATTAAGT